CCATTTTCTCGGCTACCGCTCGTGCCTCCGTGGGATCTGTGCGTCTGGCCGGCTGCTGCCCCCTGCGCTCGCGTGCTCCCGTCTCACCCTTTTTTTTTCTCCTCCCCCTCGCGCACGCGAAGCTCCTGCCCCGCCTCCGCCGCCTGATGACCGCCTCCGCCGCTGGGTCCTCCTCTCGGCCGCCGGCTCGGCGCCCGACGGCCTCCAACCCGGCCGCCGCCACCTCGACCCAGGGCCCGCCCAAGCGCGGCCGGCCCAGCAACGAGACCCTGCGCGCTCGGGAAACCCTGGCCGCCAAGGCGGCGCCCCCGAAGCCGGTACCGGCCACCATCGCACCGCCGGCCCCCGGGGCCCGGGTCACCCGTGCCATGGCGGCCGCCGTCCAGGCGGCCGCCACCGCCACCGCCATCACCACCAGCCCGGTGCCGGGCCTGCTGGCGCACAACCTCCAGGCCGAAGGGCTGACCGCGCCCCGCGCCGCCGGCCCGCCGCCCGACCATGACCCCGGGCCCCCGGTCAAGGCCGAGCCCAAGCTGGCCGGCCCCTTTGCCCTGGCCCAGGCCCGCATGAATGCCCCGGTCATGGCCAAGAAGGCCAAGGTCGGCCAGAGCCTCGCGTCGGCCAAGAAGTCCGGCGCCCCGCCGGCCAAGCTGTCACGCTCGGCCTCGGCCGAGCAGCAGGTCCTTCGGGACCTGGCCATTCAGGCGATCGTCCGCCACTCGCGCTTTGCCCGGCGCGCGCCACGCGCCACCACGGCCGAGGCCGCCCCCTCGGCGGCCTTCCTCGCGGCCACCGGGCTGGTCTTCCCGGTGGACGATGTCACCACCCCGGCCGAGGCCTTTCCCAGCATGCCACGCGAGACCCCGGCCGACTTGGGCTTCCTCCCGCCGGCCGGCGACGCCGCCGCCGCCGCCGCCGCCGCCGCCGCGGCCGCCGGGCCCGCCGGCGAGGGGGCCCCCCCCGCGGCGGCCCCGGCCCACACCCCGGCCGGGGCCCTGCGCCTGGTCACCTACAATGTCAATGGCCTCCAGGCGGCCCTGCAAAAGGGCCTCCTGACGTATGTCCTGGCCGAGCAGGCGGACATCCTCTGCTTGCAGGAGACCAAGCTCTCCTTCATGCCGCCCGGCAGCCTGGAAGATCCGCGGACCTTCGACGCGCCGGCCCTCGGCCCGGAGTTCATCCAGCTCCTGGAGCACTTCCCCTACCGGATCTGGTCCAACAGCCTGCAGCCCCTCGGGTATTCCGGGGTGGCTGTCCTGTCGCGCGTGCCGCCGGCCGCCAATGGCCGGGTCATCACCGGCATGGAGCTGGCCCTGGCCCGGCTGGAGGAGACCCTCCTGCCGGAGGGCCTGCTCACCGAGGCCCCCATGCCGCCGCGGCTGACTCGCGTCGGCCCCACCGAGCCCGATGCCAAGATCCCCGCCCGGCCGGTGTCCCACGACCTGGAGGGCCGCCTGCTGGCCGTGGATTTCGACGACTTCTGCCTGGTCAATGTATACACCCCGAACTCCGGCCAGAAGCTGGCCCGACTGGACTACCGCCGCCAGTGGGACGCGGACTTCGCGCGCTTTGTCCGAGCCCTGGAGCTCGGCATCACGGCCGACCCTGCTGCGGCTGACGCCACTGCCGCCGCCGCCACCGCCGTCGCCGATGCCACCCATGCCGATGGCTCGACAGCATTGGTTCCCCCGCCTCCGGCCTCGGCCGCCGCGGCCTCTGGCACCGGCTCCCCCGATGAGGCTGCCGCCTCGGCTCCGGCTCCGGCTCCGACAAAGGCCCCGCTGGTCGCCGGCCGCCCCTGGCGACCGGTCATGGTCACCGGCGACCTGAACGTCTCGCACCAGCCGTTGGATCTCCGTCGGGCCAAAGCCAACCAAAGGTGCGCACACGCTCACACTCCCACGCCCTTCTGCATCCGTACATGCATGTGTATGCATGTGTATGCATGTGTAAATGTGTGTGCATGTGTGCATGTGTGCACATGTGTGTGCATGTGTGTGCATGTGTACATGTGTAAATGTGTGTGCATGTGTGTGCATGTGTATGCATGTACGG